AGAATCGTTTTTCGTATACAATGATATAATATCATTGGATTCAAATTTAATTCCATCCATTACAGTAACCCACTTGTAACCTATACTGTACATCAGAGCGACATCCAAGACTTACCCGTCTTTTTTAATAATAATGTCGGGCATAATGATTAATGATATAATTAGATACTATTACTTTTATTGGTACATTATGATTATTATTATTTAATTTATTAAAAATTTTTTATTATTTACAATTACATACATAGTTAACAAATATTGTAAAAATCGGTCAATTTTTGTGGTTTTAACATATTTAACTGCAACACGCTGYGCGTAGTCCGTGCAAGTGTGGCGCCTGACAGTTAAATGAGAAAGGCGGTTAATCGGGGTATGGATAGTCGAAGTTCTACTATGTATATTATATATTATAATATAAGATAATATAATTAATACTATTTACTTATGAAATATAGGATAGGTTAACTTAACCTAAGTATAATTATATAATTTTATTTCATAATTTTAATAATTTTATTGTTATTGACGTAATCGCGATACCAATTTCAAGTGGATTTGCAGGCAACGCACGTTACAATGTGAAGTACTATGAAGCCATAAACAATMAAATAAGTGTCTAAACATTAAACATTATAATGTGTTAATTATTTAATTTACTATAATATGTGTAAATAAGTCACCTATGACCTATGGGTTACTGTAAAATATATCCGTTATAGAACGGTATTTTCTGAACTAAAATCAACGTCCGTCCTCAATTTTTGTTCCAATTCGAACACCGGTTACAATAATGTTGTGAGAGCATTCAGCATAACATAACAATATTATTGTAATTTTAAATTACTGGACGTAAGTTTTGATATGTTACGCGTTTGTCATACACTAGTGTTTAACACCCACATTATTTAATTTATTGGTTACTGGTTCCTATAATATTTATGCAATTAATATTCAATTTTGTTTTAGAGCTCGCAAAACCGTATTTTGATCAAAAATGGCAAAATTGTTAATGCAGACAAAATGGTCGACAGCGATGTTTATATTGAAGATGGCATCATTAAGTATGTATAAGTTCTTATTTCTTAATAAAAATAAAAAGATTATCGAAAAATCCCATCCTTGTTTATGAGCGTTATTAGAAGTTTTTACCAAACTAGATATTCGACCTAAATTAAAGATTTATCTTTGACGATTTTCTTATTTTTTTGTAAATCAAAAACGAATAACTTTACATATAGATAACTATTTAAAAAGAGCATTCGCCAAATGTTTATCGCTTAGGTATTCTATGTTTTTTAATTTTTATACGTCATGATGTAATTTCCAAAATATTTTGGGTATTTTGAATTATCATTTATAGCCTTATAGGCATAAGAAATTTTCGAATTTTTTAGTTTTTTCAACTGGTAATTGATAAATAATTTTTCGATTAGGAAAACTAGAAAAACATTTGGAAATTGTACACAAGGTTTCTCATAATTATGGCGTGGATTTATATGCATTTGCATATTTATTTTGGTTGATTGCATATTTGCATGATATGMTAAAAGTGCATAAMATTTGTTTTATATCACAACGATTTAAAAATTGAAWTTTGTGTAGTGTATATTTTTGCATATTTTGATGTTTATCCATTGCATATTTCATTTTTAGTGCATATATCGAAGTTTTTTTTAGAAATTTTGAAATRTATAGGAACCATTTACATAAGAAAAAAATATTTTTTTTTAGTTTTGATTAATATCAAAATTAATTAATAGGTATTAAATAATATTTATGGGGGATCGAATCCAATAATTATAGHGTATAATGAAATAATGTCATCAAAATTAGTGTTCATACAATCTACATAAAAATACTATAGATATATATATAAATACTTATATCATATTATATCATATCATATTACGTATCTAATTTTAATTTCATAAAATCAGCGGTATTGTCTTTGACATACAAATTCTAAAAATCATATAAATTTATATTTTAGAAGTATAACTAAGAAGTACCTATGTAACAAGTTAAGTTTATATAGGTATATAAAAAGTTACTTTATTCAATCTATTTTAAAATTATGAAGTGCTTTTTAATTTATCTCACAAATAATATATATAATTTGGAATTTATTTGTAAAGTCTTGTACTTACCTATATTTTATTATATATTTTCAGCATGTCCTAACGAAATAAAATAAATATTATACTATTTTATGATGGGTATAAATCATAGCCCCAGTAATAATAATTACTTTCATTTGATAGAACCCTTCCACTGTGCTCAGTCTGTCACTGCATTGACCTATCTAATGTTCAAAGGATATCCGCT